TTGCCTTCACATAAAGTTAGGCATCGAACCAACAGATCTACACAAATAGAAGTATCCATAAAATCATCTTAATATGACGAATGGCAGTAAAAAAATTTCAAACAATTTTTACCAGTTTTTCTGTATTTGAGTATCGCACAAACTTGTCAACTAAATATCACAAAAAACAATACATACAGCTAAATTTTCAAATTACATTATTATTTAAACCTCTTGGGGATGTTAGAATCAAATTGTTTTAAGGTTTCTTGTTATTTAGCATTAATTCACTACTAGATCAGAGCCAGATATTAATGTGAATTTTGTGGAGTAGTATTTCAGTAGACTAATGTTTATACATAACATACTATATCAGCGGGTACATTTTTAGTTTTCATTAAAAGTTTTCATATTTTCAAAGAATAACTTCATATTTTCGACACTATGTTGATTAAAACTTAAGAAAGTATACAACATTCAACGAATAATAATTAAAATAGTTGAGATCATGAGTTAACTGAAGCTAGACCACCATGGAAAACCTGGAAGAACTGGACGGCCCTTTCGTCTTATTGTAGGGCTGATCAGCAGTGCGCATCCACGATCCCGCCTCACTGGATTAGAACCCAGAACCTATCTTTCTCACTTCACCTCTAGACCACTGAGCTGGTCAGCATTCAACGGTTTTAATGTCTAACTTCAACTAATCTACCAAACTGAGCAACATATCCACCATTGCTATCAGTGAATTACTATCTCATAACAGACCTGGTTGAACTCCACTTGTCACTGGTTCTCACTAGAACTCCAGGATATAAATCTTGAAGCCAGTTACTAGTGAGTATATGTTGATGAATATCAGAAGGGGTCTTGTGGTGATTGTAGTCATTTCAATAATTGAAATCATGTGGCAATTGAAGCTAGAATAATAATTAAAATTGCATACAGTATATAACTGTTTAACAATACACCTCAATATAATATGAACTAACGTGTAGGATTACAAATTGTCGTTTTTTTTTCAGAAATTGTTTAAATGTTTTTATGAAAACCTCATAAGATTTGTCATTTTTTCCTTACTATGACAGATTACTTTGATACTATTTTGTTATGATGACATTTAGGAAATATATACTACTGATAATAAGTTTTATTTGCTTATATATTTACATTTAAACAAAATTCTAAAATGAATCATTTAGTCATGATCATATACATATAAAGTAGTCATAGTTGATTTCGGTCAAATTACTATTAATAATTACAAAATTGTCTGATATAGACAAATTCTTGTGACTTTAAGCTATATCGAGGCAATCCGCCCAGAATGCACATATATCAACATGAGACTGATCAATTATAGTCTTAAATAACAATAGAAAGATACAAGAAAAACAACATCAAGTGAATTGAGACAAATACTTGTAGTAAAATTCCTAGACTTATTCAGTGAATAAATGAAACATAAAGGGAAGAAATGAAATAATGATTAATTGTTAACAAATTATTTTATTAACTTAAACTCTGTATGTTTCACTAAAAAAAAATATTTTTAAATTAGAATCAAGTAGAGAGCGCGAAAATGTTTAATTTGAAATTGGTTATTTGATGACAAGACGTAATTATGTCTGATATTCATCAAAATGGTAATGAAATTTCTTTGTAAATTATCTACCTTTTCTCAAGGTCACATTAAAAAGGTACATGGAGAATCTAATAATTTCACAGACTAATTTAGATTCTTGTAAATGTCATAGGTTCTGATGAAGTAAATGTTTCATAATTTTTTCCTCACAAATGAATGAATTTTTCAAAATGATTAACATACTAATAATGGTTATTTATTTTTATTACATAATATAACCAAATGCCTATCTATAAGAATACTGATTACATCAAATCCTACCCAATCATATAAATGAAATGATAGTCGACATAACGCATGAGAAAATCGAAATTGTAATAATTAATATTTCTGATGGTGAAACTAAGTTAAGACTCTAGCGCTTATTTATTGTTTCATTTTGCCAGTTACAATGGTAGCTATCTGATATCAACTTTTCATTCTAACAAATACTGAAGTGTGCGGTGAAAATGAAACCTGGAAAGTATTTACTAAGACTCAGTAGTTTAAACATTTAACTATGGGATAGAGTAAGTATTGCATTTTAATTATGTATGTGACAGAAACTCATTTCCCAGATAGGTGTATTAACAGATGAAGAAGCTCAAAATCTCAGTACGTTTCAAATTAAGACAGAAACTTTATAGATCGTAGAGTAAAAATAAATGTTGCTGGTTTTATAAACTTACACAAAAACCATTTCAACCCATATGTGATATGACAGATTTTTAATACGATGTGTTTATTCATCTGAAAACCTATTATCTATAGGTGTATAACATGAAAACCTGAACATTATAACGCCTTACATAAGCCCTTGCTACATCAACTTTTATATGAGATATAGAAAATTATTGCTCATCAGTACTTTTGGACAGTTCTTTCCTCTTCTTATTATTTAGTTTCCTTTTAAAGTTTATCAAGTGGAACCTAAAACGTTTTCCTTTTTAATTCAAAGTAGGTGTTTCATTTACATGGTCAATTCCTATTGAATACTGACTTATTTAACAGTTGTATAAACAATCTATCTTATTTGTCTAACTGATAATTATCCTACTTGATACTATCAGTTACCTTCAACTAAAAAGCAGACAAAAAATAAGTTATACGATGAATGATAATTATTTTTTGAATATCAAACTTTTTTATCATTAACTATGATGAATGGTAATGCCAATAATATTTATGCCACATAAAATAACTGAATAAGCTTCTGATAAATAAATAATATTAAACATTGAATTCACCAAGCGACTTAAGCTAGATCACCATTGAAAAGTTGGAACCACTGGAAAACCGTTTCGTCGTAGTATGGGACTCCTTAATAGTGAACATCCTTGATCTCACACGTGGAACTCGAATTCGGCACCTTCAGTCTCGTGTGGGAACATCTAGACGGCTGGTCAGACATCCATTGATGTTATTGTCTAATAACAATCGATTCATTATCTTTCGCAACCATTCATCCATTGTCTGAATTGGACAACTATTTCCACCTGACTCCTGAGTGCAGAGTCGTGGGTATTCATTGCTAAACAGTCCCATACTAGGACGAAACGGTTGTCCAATACTTCCAGATTTTTAATAGTGGTCTAGCTTCAACTGACTCATGAATTTAACTATTAAAATGACTACAATCTCTATAAATCCCCATAATGATAATAATTAATACTCAAAGTTAACTAGGAATTTCGATCTGATTTGAAGAGTTATACATATACAACTCTTTACGTTAACTATCATTATTAGCTAATCATAATTCTAAGTGATTTACATTGATTTCTATGAAAAAAAATTATAATGTAGAATTTTAAAAAAATTGCAAATACTTTTTTCACAGATTGAAATCATGAGTCCCATACTAGGACGAAACGGCCGTCCAGTGCTTCCAGGTTTTCCATGGTGGTCTAGCTTCAATTGACTCATGATTTCAATCTGTGAAATTTTTAAAATCTCCACAAACCACTTCTGAAAATACTTTTTTGCATTATTTTCCATAATTTGATTGACTTGTTTACTTAATTAACAAAAATTACATCATTTTATAAAACGCCATCTATGTTTTGTTGTTGTTGTCATTGTTGTTATCGTTGCTGCTGTTGTTGTTGTTGTTGTTGTTGTTTTGATACCAACATATCATATATCTTAGGCAGTCCAAAAATAACATGTGAATTATGAAATTCCTATTTAATAAACATAGAAATTTTATCATGTTATTTTTTATAAATTATTTTGTGTGTGTGTGTGTTATCTGTAATTAAAACAACAACAAATGTATATTTGAGTTTATGCCAAATGTAAAATAAAACTTATTGAGAAAATTTATACCAAAGTAAAGATTTGGAAAAGAAAAAAAACACAGAAATCTAATTTCACACTTTATGGTTCTTAAATTAATCCATTATCTTTGTTTTTATTTATGCCTAGTTATTAGATCTTTCAAATTCACTATGATATGAATTTATATAAATAAATGGATTCATTAGTTAGTTGAAGCTAGACCATGTTGGAAAACCTGGAAGAACTGAACAGTTGTTTCATTCTAGTTTGAGACTCCACGACAGTGCTCACTCACGATCCTGACTTGCTGGATTCGAACCCAGGATATATCAGTCTCGTGGGAGAATACTTCACCTCTAAACCACTGAGCTGGTCAGCATTCAACGGTTTTTAATGTCTAACTTCAACTAATCTACCAAACTGAGCAACATATTCACCATTGTTATCAGTGAATTACTATCTCACAACAGACCTGGTTGAACTTCACTTGTCACTGGTTCTCACTAGAACTTCCAGGTTTTCCCATGATTGTCTAGCTTCAATTGACTCATGAATTCAACTATTAAATTACTAAAATTTTCACAAAACCCTATTTTTATAACTAAATAAATTTATAAAGAAGGACAAAAATTTTAATGCATTTTCGGATAATCTGAATATTTTTACTTACGTATAAACCTTTTTTATTATATTAATTACAAACTATTTACAAAGTCCGAATGTATTCGTTATTTAATATACGTGTGTAGTTTTTTTCCAGCTTATTAAAACATTGATTTGTTAGAAAGCTAAGAGTTCGTTTGATTTACAATTTTCTTTGTAATTATCAAGAATGAGCTAGGTAGTACTTATTAATGATTCTTTTTAAAAAAACTATTAACCGTAGATACATAAATATTTATGTGTTTTGATTTTGATGGAGTTTTGTTCTCTGAGCTGGATGTTTTGGTCGTTCAGAAGAACGATGAAAGCTTCACGATCAAACCATCCAGCTCAGAGAACAAAACTCCATCAAAATCATCCATCTGAGCTACAAATCTTCTCCACCATTTATGTATTGTAAGAAAGGAGTCTATGAGATTGTTCAGTGATATTTTTTTATTTTCTTACCTTTAGGATGAATACCAATAATCAATTAGACAATTCATCGAATGAACCAACAACTAATTTAGAACAGATATCACCTATTCCAATAAATTCATTTCCAGTTGATGGAAGAAATGAATGTAATCCAATTAAAATATGTAATGAATACTATGATAATAAGAAATTCATCACTTCATCTGAATTTATCCATAATAACAATTATCATCTTATGCATAATCCAAATAACAAAATCAATAATAATAATAATAATAGTATCCGTGATAATACTACTCATGATAATTTAGTAGTTAAACAATCATTATTATCTAAACAAAATGAAAATACAAAGAAAACAAATCATTTTGTTAATTATTTATTAGAAAATAATGAATTCAATCAAACTAATATTAATGTGAATCAAGATAAAAATGATAATAAAAATTTAATATTATTTGACATGATGAATACATCATTGAATTCACCATCTTCATCGATTTCATCCAAATCCGATCTAGATAATCATAATAATAAAAATTCAAATGATTATTTATCAAGGAAAAAATTACAACAAAATGTTTCATTTAAAATACAATCTATTCAAGGTAATATAAGTTTATTTAGTAGACGAATAGGACGAAACGATTGTTTTGAATTCTACTGTTAACCACTAACCATCTTTACTTATGTTATCGTAAAGAAAATTTGATAAATTTAGTGCTAAATCATTTCACTGATTATTGGAAATAGTTTTTTTTGTTGAAGTTCGCTTTCATTTCAAGTTTCATTAGAAATATGAGTAAAATCTAGTGAATTCGTAAAAAATATATATAATCCCTTCTCTTAAATTGTTCTTCTTTGTTACTTGAAGCTTACTTTCTTACGCCTGTTACTCCCAATGGAGCATAGGCCGTCGACTAACATTCTCCAACCCACTCTATCCTGGGCCTTCCTTTTTAGCTCTCATTCTTCTCATATCTGTCTCCATTTCTCGACGTAGTGTGTTTTTTGGTTTTTCTATTTTCATTCGGTCTTGAGGATTCCGAGTGAGGGTTTGCCTTGCAGCGCAGTTATGTGATTTCTTCAATGTGTGCCCAATCCACTTTCAGCGCTTCTTCCTGATTTCTTCCTCCGTTTATGTGTTCATTAATAAGTATATCACCAGTGATAATAGTAAGATGAAGTGATAGTGCTCAAAATTACATATAGCTTAGTCCTCGTTCATTTTATTATCAAGATTTTGATGGACTTTTGTTCTCTGAGCTGGATGGGTTCGTCGTGGGGCTTTCTGAACGACATCATCAGCACAAACTTCAGATACAGGTGAAGTGTTCGAATTTCTCCATATGCGTTTCACAGCTTGTTCTGTACACCTCGACGTTGACTGGTTCTTATTGACCTTAAATTATCAAGATTAGACTATTAATTGAAACTATGGCAAGATAAGAAACATACATAAACAAACACATAAGGTTCATTATTTCATAATTGATTCTACTACGCATACAACAACTCATTTTTGAAACACTGTCAGTGAATATTTCTTACTGTTTTTATCCAATATTTAAAACAAAACTGAATTATAAATCGAATTAAACCATATTTTCTGATAATTCAGTAAATATTCACCTTGTATCTAATTTCTAATTGATTTGTGTGTGGGCTGTGATACTACCTGAGTGCCCAGACCGAATTAAGTGGTTTTCCCAAGAGGCCAGGCCTGGAGCCATTGACCTAAAGGTCTGGTCCACAAGGAAGTGGAGCAACGTCAGGAGATGCAGTCCCATGGTAGGTAATGACCAATAATTGTTTCATACACCATTTGTTTCCCCAGGATCCTGGAGCCTATGTGCACCATTAGTTTGGAATCAGAGTTTTCTAACTCCTCTAGCCACCTAGAGGATCCTCCATATCCACCAACCCGGTTAAAGCATCGAACATTCGCTTTTCGTCTTCTCAATTTCGTAGACAACACCTCTGCCGCGAGAAGGCAGTGAGTAAGATTTGTATGGTGTATATGTATACGGTGCCCCTTTGTACCAATATTTGTGTATTCAAATAAATAAATAATCTAATTTCTAAAATTTATTTATAAATATTATTACTTTATTCAAAGCAATTTCAATCATTTCATTGAATAGCCAAAAATGAGATTGCAAGATTTGTCCAATTAACTAATTATTTTCTAAAAATAATGTTTCCCCATATTGATCACGTTTAAAAACGAAATTATCTTACTAAAACAATGAAAAATAAGCATGTATACATTACTTCACTTACTGTGTTCATACAAATACTAAGTGTTAAATAGACAATCAGTGCTGTTTTAAAATTGTCGTCATTTGAATAATACTTCGAACTTCGATTTGAAAATGATTTTCAACTATTCATTACTAACTGAAAGTGAAAAACGGATTTCTGAGATCACAATAAACTTTATCCGAACCATATAAAATAAAATAAACACAAACAACCCATATTTTAACTCGAAATAAATCTATAATTATTCATTTGATTCACTGATTACTTATATAGTTGAGTTTATGAATCAATTCAAGCTAGAAAACGATGGAAAACCTGGAAGCACTGGATAGCCGTTTCGTTCTAGTATGGGACTCCACAACAATACTCACCTACGATCTCGCGTACGAAGGCCTAACCTCTAGATTACTGAGCTGACCGGCATCTAACGGTGTTAATGTCTAACTTCAACCGATCTCGTGGATTCGTGGTCTAGCTTTAATTGACTCATGAACTCAACTATTAAATTACTAAAGTCCCCACAAAAACCCTCCCTCTGATTTCATATATATTAAAAATTGAAAGTTTCATTAAATCGACTTTTTAAAAATCAGAAATGCTTACTATAAATAAATCGCAACATATAATCAAATATTTATTTGACATTAGATATTTTAAGCCATTAAAAAGGCGATTAGTGATGTTTTTAGGTTGTAAGTTATATAATTATACTGAAGAGCGGGTATTTTGTGTTTTAGACTGGTAACTATTCAAAAAATTGTTTTACAAACGTTTGGTTACAAAGATATAGCCTTTCCTCTTTTTATTTCAGGGGGTAAGAAAGATCGAAATACTGAGGGTAGATGTCCAATAAGAGATTGTGATGGAACTGGGCATGCTACCGGATTGTATTCATACCACAGAAGGTCAGTGATTTCAGAGTGTTCATTGATTTCAAAGTATGGTAAACTGTAATTCTTTGAAAAAAATATTAATTAATTTGTTAACCTGATTTCAGTTGATTATTACATAGACCTCAAATGAACCTCATTTTAAACAAGGATAAGAACTGTGGCTGAATCATATCATTAATGACAATATTACAAGCCTGGTCCTAAGTCAAGCGAGATTTTAGACCAACTTACTGATATATAAAATGTTGTGCTTTAAGGTCAAAAATGTAAACGTTTGTTGATAAAAACAATAGTAAACAATTTTACAAAACTAGGATTTATTACAATATTAATACCGTACTTAAGATTCTTATAATATGCTCTTAATCCCTTAGATACTTATGTATTAATAATATTACAATACTATTTGAACGAACTGTGCTAGTTTTGGGATACAGACAATAAGTCATTCTTCTATAATCAGTTAATCATCACCTCAGTAGGTGGAAAAATTCACCACTAATTTAGTAATTAGATAGTATCAGACTAAGTAATAAGTAATTAGTGATACATTTTATGTAGTTCATTTCGACTGTCTATAAAAAGCTGTTTAATTATATTCAGTTAGATGATTATCGAAGTACTCATTTCATTAATATTTACTTGCCACGTAATAATTTCAGAACCGGTCATTTAGTGATCCCAAATTTCGATTATTCAATTCCAATCTCCGTAAAATTAATTAACTGTCTTAATAATATTACTGAAGTGAATGAAAATGTTTAGGATACAATATGATGATCGAAATGTCAGTAAATCATCAATGTAGTGAGTATTGCCTAATATAATAAAAACTGCAGCAGAAGAACTTATCATGAAATTTAAAAATATAGTTATTACGAAGTAATTGTGGAAATTATATAATTGTATATCACAAACTAATCTCGGCGATGTAACCACTAAAAACGAGGGAGAAGTGGACAGCTCTTCGTTCCGGTTCGATACCACTCAGAAACATGTATCTTAAAACTCCCAGAAACTATGACTCTCATTACAAACGTTTAAAATTTAGACTACTGAGCTAGTTTCCAATGGTTTGTATTTGTAATTTCAATCAAGTCGCGGTGCTGTGCAACTATCGAATATAATTAGTAGGTACGGACTAAAACTTATCCTAGTCGAACTCCACTGGTCAAGGGTTCTTACTGTAACTCCAGTAATTACATTTTGAACTCAGTCGCTAGTGAGTACGTGATTACTAGATAATATCAGGTTTGTCTATATTTCGGAATTTTGTAGTCAATATCACGGACTAATTATTGATCGGGTCATGGATGTTCACAACTGGGGAGTCCCAATCCATAAAGAAATAGCTTTTCAGTGTTTCTTCGTTTGCAATAATTGTTTCGCTTAAGTCTGTAAGTGATATCAACTACAAAAATAGAAGTAAATCAATAAGACCTGTCATCCCCATGAAACTAATACGAATAATAATGCGTTGATAATAAGTAGAGCTCATGATTTTTTATACAAGACAAACAAATTCGCATTTCTTTTGAAATGTTAGATAAACATGGATAATTTTGGTCTATTAGTTACGGAATGATCCATTTTGTTTTTCATTATTTACACAATATCTACAAAATTTAAGGGTCAGTTATCATTTCCTAAAAGACGTTCAAAAAAAGTTTGATTTAAAATTTAACGATGGAATGTATTATACTTACCTGATAAGTGATCGTCAATATATATTCAATATGAAGACAATAACTTAACTGGATAAATGATGGAACAAAATCTAACATTTATCTTTTGTGAACATGACTGGAATTCAAAACGATAATGAAACGGAATGACATAAGTCTTCTGAAACAACTCACTGTCTAAATAAATGAACTCCATTACTTATTAATAAACTTTATAATCATTTAATAACCATACAAATTAACATAACTTTCTACTTTTATTCTATTCCTTTTAGTGTTTCTGGTTGTCCACGAAAGGATAGAGCTAGTGTAGCAGGTAAACAATTGACTATTGTATAAATTAATTAAATTTATCAAATATATAACATTTCGCTAAATTCATGAACCAATCAACGAAATTCAACAATCTCAAAGAGTATTTAGGCTCTAATAACAATTGGAAACAAAATAAATTGATTTCGATAGAACAATGAGAAGACGGAGTTGATCTGAAAAATGTGATGTATTTACGTTATATATTTCGAACATCACATTTTTCAGATCAACTCCGTCTTCTCATTGTTCTATCGAAATTTATAAAATGGACTAATTGCTTTAAAATTAATTTAGTAACAATTAGGTTTATTTAATAATCTAATCAGAGTATTTAATGCAACGAAATTTGTGTGGTGGTGTGTGCTACTTATATCGAAATAAATTGTATATAAGCTAGTCAAGAATAGAATGTCTGGAAGTAGAAGGTCGAGAAGATCGATAAGGAAAGAACAGCAGCATAAAGCAATTGATATGGATATGCAGGAATAATAAAGTCTGAAACGATTGACTGATATTTGCAAATTAAGTATTTTCCGTATGGTTCTCAGATTTCACTAAGATGTTCTGTAATTTTGTGTCGATTGTCCCCACTTGTGTTCTCGCTCACTACACTTATTAGCTCATATATTATGATGAAAATATGAATAAAAATATATTCTACAACTGTTTATTTTATAAATTTCATACTGTATTACCAAAATTCATTTTAGGCAGTTTGTTAACTTACACAAAAACAGAAATATCGTTTCATTCATATGAAAGTTTGGGAAACTACTTATTTTATATATTCATTGTAATGTATCTATAGTAGTATTCAGCCACAAAAAAAACCGCTGTATTTTCTTTACACTATAAAGAATAATGAAGATTACCTACAGTGAAGCCAATAAACTGAAACTCTAGAGATGTTCCAAACTTTCAACAACAAAAAAAAAGTAACATTTATTCGATAATCATTTGTTTATAATGGTTCGACAACTGTAGCTAATTCAATAACGAAAATTAAATTTAAATATAGAAACTTTTATCGCCTCATATCAATACAACTTTCCTAATATAAAATCAGTCAACATCTAGTTTATTAACTTATCTAGTTTGATACAGATGTTTTCTAGTGGAAACCTTAAATAAATAATAATATTAACAACAAATTGGCATACAAACTAGGCTAAATCTGTCATAATTCGGCCTAGTTTAAATAGTCACACACTGAGAAATCTTATATATATATATATATATATACAGCCAATTTGACAGTAACTACCAATTTTTTAAACAAATTTCTTAAATATCTAAAATGAAATGAAATTACCATGAACTAACTGACTACTAATATTATATCCTAATAGAATGAATATTGTAAAATGAAGTCTTAAACATTTAACTAAACATCGTGATAAATATATGCACCTGTTAATACTACTATTTCATATATTTGTATAATATAAATGGTAGGAGTTTAGATTAACATATATTTGTTGTAGAATTACTTGCATAATGACATATTCCTTCTTTCTTTAATATAAAGTGAATAGTTTCTCCTTTGTTCTAATCTTTCTTATTATTTGTATATATATTACCACATTTGGCAATATGAAACCTCTTTCTAAAAATGGTAAACAGAACCGAGCAAATATCTCTATTTTTTCTTAATAGTTATTAAGAAAACTAATCGGAAAGCTTTTGGAGAACAAAAAAAAAGAAAGATACTAAGCGAAATTTTTTGTTCATCTTTTCAAATTAGGAAGATAATTGGAAAATTGGACACGCGACTTCATTTCATCTCTAATCAGTGAACTAGTCTTTAAATTAGCTTTAATTAAACATTCTTTCTTGTGTGTCTGTGTGTGTGTGTGTTTTATGTGGATACCTGTTAGTATATTTAGTGTGATTTTTCCTTTGCTTTAAAAAAAACCATACTGATAAGATTTGATTTTTCTTTTTAACATATTCAAATGTGTACACTAATTATAAAGATAATAAGTAGTATGCAAGTAGATTAAACATATATGAAACTTAATAACTAATTTGAAAAACCACGTGTATACTTAGTCCTTAGTTAAGAGAGAAAAGAAAGTAAGAAACCAATGTTGTTCAAAATATAAAGTATTAAGGACTTCACAATCTTATCAAATTCTGTAGAATAGTACCACATGTTGTATAGTTATGAATCAAATATATATGATACTCGATAGAAAATTTATTCATCCATCTGTGTAATATTTGTATACGTGTATAGATGTGTTGTTCACTTAATATTCGTTATACCAATTGAATATTATCATAATACATAATAATAATCAGAAGAATATCCACATATGTTATAGTAGGATAAGATAACGTTTGAAAAAGTAATCTTTATAGCAAAATCAAGTTAGGGGACCATGAAAAATTAGTACTTTTTTAAAAAGAATATTCTAACCAATCTATCTCTAAACTTATCCTCTATTAATGAGGCATGTTTGTAAGCCTCATTTGATCGTGGTTATTAGGTAGACACTTTCAAGGTCAGTCTAGCGTCGTTCAAATATCGTTCATAAATTACAGTCTCACCGAAATGTGTATATAAAAAGTCAACTAGTTCATGATGAGCCGTTACAATCTTTAATAATCAAATATACAACTGACTCATATTATCAATAACTATTTGATAGTCAGCAAAAATGAAAAGTGTAAACTTTCGCAGAACAGCGTTTCGTAAATTATGTGTAATAGTATTATTATTATTCAGATTCGTCAAATTATTTTTAAGCAAGAATTATGTTTTCACGCGTATATTCGATTCGTCAGTAATTTTTGCACAAACTACAATGTTTTCCATTTTTACAATAAGTTTCATCATAAATTGATGTTCCCTAGAAAGCTGTAGAACTACTGAATCCCACTAGGCGACCCAGTATTATTGTGTTTATTGTAAAACCTTAAATTACCACGCTCGGTTTCGTTAAGGTTATTTGTACTTACTACTGAAGAGTTTCCAAGTGATATGAAACAGCTGTCCAACACTCTATGATTTTCACTCTCTAGGTTATGTCTATTTATGACAGTTGCCTTAAATTTACTCAGAATCTTCACTTTAATTCTAGAAATTGATTTTTTAAAAAACTCATTAAGATCTAATAGCAGTGATTGGTGAAACATTAAACATCAATATAAATAGCTTAGAGATATTCTTCTAAAGAAAATGATTAATAAGAAAGGGATCACTTTTGTTTAGCAAAAATACAAATATATGCTGATTTAAAATGTATCCAGTTATAATGTTTATTTATTTTATAATTTAACCAAATAATTCAACTTAAATGGTACATTTTATATTCATACTATATTATATTGTTGACATATCACGACTATTTTATCTACAGATTTGGTACATATTATACATAATGCATAGGGATGTCATGCTACTATGCATGATGGACTAAATCCTGATAACTGAATAACTAGTTTTCGCTTCCTTACTGAGGATTATATGCTTATGTCTAGGTGTTTGTTAAAACCTGACAATTCACATATGTGTACTATATAAAAAATAAAAAAAAGAATAGAACTACCATTCATATTATTAAGTAAACATTTGTTGATGAAAAAGAAAGATGATTGTGGGAAGGAAAAGGAAAATTTTCTAATGGCAATAATAATAATATATTTTCATACTTCATACACAATTGAATGTAAACAATGGTACATGGAACTAACTGAACCTTGGTAACTAATCTTTCTATTGGAATCTTAGATTTCTTAAAGAGACGAACATAGTTGATCTAAATTTTTTTTGTTTATATAAAAGACGTGAAAAATAGTAATATTTGTATGCTAAATGCAATGTACAAACTGTTATTAGTTGTCAAGGAATCTAATTTCCTTGTGTAAGTCTGTGGTTTTAGATGGTAGGCATGCGAATTAGTGGAACTGATCATCTGTGAAAAGAAAAGTAGAAAAGATGGAGAAGAAAAAGGAAAAAAACTGAACTTCATGTTGATTTTTATCACAATCTGAAGAAAATATATAATCAGTTATATTAATTCGCATTGTTTACATAATTGATGCACATGGTTAAATTGATGTTCATCATTACCTCCCAGGTGTAAGTATGACTTTGGTTAGATAAGAATCTATTATTTAACTTCTTGTCAATATGTATTAATAATGATGATGACGATGATATTGATGATGATAATATGTTTGGAATAGGCAGCATGTCATAAACATAACAACTGGTGAACTAGACATTTAAAATACAATACAAAACTGGTGTCTTAACAAAACATAATTTTTGAAAAATTTTTGGGCAATTTCATGCTTGACTACTCTTTTGTTTTATTATTTATTTGCATTTTTGTGAATCACAAGGGTAATTGAAGTATTTACCAAATAGTCGGTAATATAAATCCTTGGTCTTTATTACTTAAGTCGTCATCATAATAATTATAGAATTTGGGGACGCTTTCATTGTGCAATGTATTTAAATAGCAGAGATGTAAAAGTCACAATCAGAATATCTCATATAATCAACAGTATAAGAACTTCTGATATTATTACCGACAGTGAATTGTTGATGCTAGCCTAATTTGTACTGTATATGTTGAATTCTTTCAACAGCAAGATCTTTCGGAATTAAAAAAAAAAATCAATTACCTCTAAGATGCTGTATAAGGAAAGATGTTACCACTTAACTGGTTTCAGATACAAATATAATTCTTATGTGTACAAAGTATATTTATGAAATAATTACGAACACTTTATCACCGTATTATATATATTATATGATAAAGATTCACCGCACCAGTCGACGAGTTAATTACTTATCGTCAAGTAATTGTTAATATCAGAAATGTTTTATATTAATTACTAGGATAGAATGATACTCTAGAATTAATTTTACTGAAGTTGTCAACTGTTATATTACTGAGAATTATGGAAATGACTAGTAAATAAATCGATGGATTGCGAAGATGTAACTAAAATAATAGCAAAAAGTTAACAAAAGTATAACAGAAACAAAGTGCAAAATTATCATTAGAATAAGTAAATATTTAGCATGTTTCATAATTATTCACTAATATAGTTTAATTACTTAGGGGGAAACATATGATACAGTGGGCAGTTAGGATGCAGCTGGATGATCTAGACTTCGTAGATGACCTGGCTCTTCTATCGCACACGCAACAACAAATTCAGGAGAAGACGAACAGTGTGGCAGCAGCCTCAGTAGCAGTAGGTCTCAACATATACAAAGGGAAAAGCAAGATTCTACAATACAGAACGGCATGTAACAATCGAGTCACACTTGACAGAGAAGATTTGGAAGATGTAAAAACCTTTACGTATTTGGGCAGCATCATTGATGAACATGGTGAGTCTAATGCAGATGTGAAGGTGCGGATCGGCAAAGCAAGAGCAGCATATTTACAATTGAAGAATATCTGGAACTCAAAACAACTGTCAACCAACATCAAGGTCAGGATTTTCAATACAAATGTCAAGACAGTTCTACTGTCTCCTGGGGTGGAAACCTGGAGAACTACGAAAGTCATCATTCAGAAGATACAAGTATTTATTAACAGTTGTCTACACAAAATACTTCGGACCCGTTGGCCGGACACTATTAGCAACAACCTACTGTGGGAAAGAACAAACTAGATCCCAGCGGAGGAAGAAATTAGGAAGAAGCGCTGAAGGTGGATAGGACACACATTGAGGAAAGCACCCAACTGTGTCACAAGACGAGCCCTCACATGGAATCCTCAAGGCCAAAGGAAAACAGGAAAACCAAATAACACATTACGTTGAGAAATGGAGACAGACATGAGAAGAATGAATAACAATTGGCTAGGACCAGAATGGAAGACCCAGGTCAGAGTGGGTTAGAGAATGCTTGTCGAAGGCCTATGCTCCACCGGGCGCAACAGGAGTGAGTAAATTAAAAAAAGTAAAGTTTAATTACTATATACATACTGAATGTAGTTTATCTGATTTTCCTAAAACTAGTTATATTATAGAGAAAAATTGTTGCATTTGTTATACCTCAGGCAAAACAAATGACACTGATCTGTGAAATGTCAGAAAGTTATATATTGTCACTTTCCAATATATTCAATTCATCTGATTCTCAATTCAAAACTGATTATGATATTTAAAAGGTTATTGGAGTTTATTTTGTGATTTCATATTAAAATATAACGTGGATATTTAATTTTTTCTTTATTTTCTCTTTGGTTTGATTCTTAGAATTGGCTCTCTATCATCAAACTTTACATTGTCCAACTCCAGGATGTACCGGTAGAGGACATGTTAATAATAATCGTTCATCTCATAGAAGGTAAGCAAATTGTTAACAAGTTTATAAATAGATGCACATATATAAATTACTGATTATATTATAATCATATTATGAAGTAAATTATAAACGTTTTTTAGAGTTAAAAACTATAGCTTACTGAAAATTGCACATTCATGTCTATTTTAAGATGATCTTAGTAGAGTAGTTAACTATAGCATAACTGCCATTTAACACTAATCACACTTACTATTTATTTTAGAAAAAAGGTCGTCCTTAAAGTCCATTTTTAGTAATAATTCAATTCAATTTGGGAAAATAGACTATAAAGTTCAATTAATTCAACGCGCTCCTAAAGATTCCCAAAATAGAATGAAACAACTGCCTAATGCTTTCAGGTTTACAATAGCTGTGAAACTCGGTTTGACACATAATATCACTAACATTCTATGATCTCCGCAAATCATCAAACTGATTTTTCTTTTTAATCATAAAACAGTATTAGAACCTTTTGATTTAAAATTTCAAGATTTTCTGTCATTACTTTGGTTATTAAATGTTTCAATTTCATTACTGTCAGAAGAATATCATGGTTGCATTCATTAAAAGTATTTAAACTAATCAAAGTTGTAGTGCATTAATTATGAAAGGCATAGTTTTAATGAAATTTTTCAAAGATGATTATTTATTCATATTTACATTTAACTTTATTTACCGTGTTATTTTTCTTAATTGTAAACGAGATCATAGTAATAATAATAAAACGTGTAAGCAAAATCGGAATCTTGTATAAATAGGTAGGATAGATATTAGTCTAATTATAGACATTTTAATGTTATCATATTAAGCATTCAAAGTAAAATATAACCTGAAGAGAACCTGAAGAGAATTTATCGAAAAGAATATTCTTCGTTCAAATATTAGTCTTTTAAAATATAACTAATTATTAGATAAATATCCTGTAGTTCTAAGTGTAGAATCTTGATCCTTTTTCTTTTCAGAACAATCAAAAGTAATGATAGCTAGTTAACTGTTCGTCATGTGTAATAATTTCATCACATACTCAATAACCAAAAGTTCAGTTATATGGACCATTTAATGTATTGACTTATTGGCTGAATGTTATATTCACCATTAATAAGATATCAAGGTTCTTCGTTTCGTTCGTATGAGTGCATTGATAAACATTTTAAACTAGGATCATACAGTGTCATGAACCCTGAACATTTTAATTAGGATCTACACACATTATCATACAAATTGAGTGTACAACATCTTTTTTTTTTGTAAAATTTTAAATACTGAATCCATATTACCGTTAAAACAAACGTCTAATTAATTAGATTTGAATATGCAGCTTACATTATATAATCATTAAAAAGTCGTCTGGTAACTTTATATTTTATCGTATAGTGTTAGTGAATCTGTAATTTATTAAAACAAAGAAAAATGTTCATCTTTTTTGTTGTTGTATAAATATAAATAATTCAGTTTACTTCATTCACTTTTATGCTCAACATATTCAAATATGATTCAGATTATATGTTAAATAAAGTGATATTCAAGCCCTAGAGATAGATTTATTTCCCTTGTGTACAAGTCTTCATATATGTTCACGTATAACATATATATATAACCTGTTAAACAAGTAACTTAAATGAAGACAAGTATATCATACTTTGCTGTTATTTCATATCTCAGAAAGAAAGAAAAAATAACCGTATGGGTAGAATTTTAGAATAAGAATCAGTTTCTACTCCCCTTTCTCATTTATATGTTTATATATCTTTTTCATAATTTATAAACTGTCAGTAAGATAATATCATAAAACAGTAGCAATACACATTGTGTTGCGTCATTTATAACATTATATACATACATATAATGTTTTAACAAGAGAACTTATAAAATTTTGTGTTATTGTGTGTCATAAAGCCAACTATTATATATATATACTTAAAAAGAAGACATGAGTTAGATACTCAAAGGAAATGAGAGTTTCTTTTTCAAACCAAAGTCAAATTAACTCAAATTTGATACGAAAGAAAGAAAAAGATACTCTGTTCATTCTCTCATTCTCTAATTTTGATGATATAATCCCAAAGGATTAGAGTTGTTAAAATCAAACAAACATTTTTAGTTGTATAATGAATTAGTTTTATTTATGTATATATGTATGTATATAATTAAAAGGAATATGGTTTTGTGAATAAGTTTTACAGCTTTAGAATAATATAAAGACTGAACGAACATATATTACTTAAATAATATATTTATTAATTATCTCATTTTAATAAAGATTATTCTCATTGTTCGTTTGCTAGATTCAATTAAATCATTTATATTAAATGGAGTTAGTTAATTTTAGATGGTAGTTGGAGTTAGTCAACAGGAAACCCTGGACCCGGGTTTCGTGCTACTTGGCACACGTCAACAAGGTGTACCTGTAATCTTGAGTCACCTAGACTGGTGGCCACATTGCAACATGATCGATAGCATTGGATCTGCACTAATAAGGACTAGACAAGCATGACATTGATCACCACCCAGTGATCAATCAATTGTGGAGTTAGTTAATATTTTGATTATATGATAATCATTCACAAAGACTGAAAAGAAAGTAGCTTAAATAAAAAGTATACATTCTATCCATAAGTAGTTTTCATAAAGGATAAATTCATTAGTATTGTAGTGAACGAGAATACAAAAAGGCGAATATTTTAGTAAAATCTGAGAATTATACAGGAAATACTTCATTTGTAAAATATCAATCAATTATCTTGAATTTGGCTGTATCTTCTGTAAAATGTTAATTAATCGTCTCAGATTTCATTGTTTTTTTGTTTTGTTTCCACACTGATCATTCTTTGTTCTCGTTCGCCTTACTTTGATCATCCTAATCTCATGATTTCAGATATTTCACTTTCTATTGATGATACATACTACTTATATCTGTCAACATTATCAGCACACACCATAGTATGAATGCTCTAGTTAGCAATAAGGATTGAACTAGTCTATATAAAAGAAGATGGATGATAATGAACTTTACAATAAAAGTATACCATATACATGTATTTTATAATCTTCGAACATTTTAACAGTAATTAGGTATCTACGTTAGAATACAATATCGATGGTAAATCTGTTTATATATTGTTCTATTAGGTTAACCACAACAAGCTTTTATATTTCAATAGATAACTCGGCGTCCTAATTAATACTGAGATTCCTGCTTTTACTTACAAAATACTAAATCAAACGATGCAATTTCGCCTGTAAACTAAAATTTCGTTTTAACTTACACCATACTTACTTAGTAAGTATTAACTAGATTGTAGTGAATTTTGTACAGATTTTAATTATCAAACTTTACAAACTAATCATCAATTCTAATATTGTCAGTACAACCCATATCAGTCAGTCAGTCAGTCAGCTACAACGTAGGACCAGGCACATATGTGCATCGGTCCAGGTTGCCATACCTCATTAGCACAGCAAGATGAACAGTGGATTCATAGGAGTGGTTAGGTCAAAGGTTGCAATAAGGATATAGTATAGGAAGAAAGAATTAGTTCGTAGACAGAAAGAATGAAGTGATTTTAGTCTCTTAGTTTAAGGGAAGACAGGGAGTGTATACACCGACGCCATTGTGATCGATTCTGAGCCATGTCACCAAGAGTCTCCAACCATTGGTTACGATAGTCACGCGGACCCCAACCAAGTAGTCTGCATCTACCAACATGGCTCAGACTAGAAGTTAGTGACTTCAGGCACTGATGCCACGTTTTGGTTTGGCCGCCCCTAACTTTCTTCCAACCATCCCCTACCCCGGTTAGCATTGCACGTCGTGGTAATCGGTGTTCAGGCATACGTAATACGTGGCCCAACCATCTCAGTCGATGAAGATTCATAACCTCATCAACTGATTTACCATCATTCCCTAATACCCTGCGTCTAACCTCACTATTACTTACCCGGTGATCCCAGCAGATGCCAGCAATATTTCTAAGGCATCTGTGGTCAAATACTAGTAACTTACGGGTGTCTTCTACTCTTAAGGGCCATGTTTCGCTGCCGTAAATTAAAACAGAACGAACTGCCGCGCAGTATACTCGTCCTTTTATTGAATAGACGGATATCTCGCCTTCGCCAAAGGTGACGTAAGTTGGCAAAAGCCAAGCGAGCTTTTCGAATCCGTGCTGAGATTTCGTCAGACACCAACCCATTAGGGCTGATCACACTTCCAAGATAAGTGAAGTTATCAACGCGTTCAACTACTTCACTCCCTATCCTTAGTTCAGGTGTTGACGCAGACCAGTCCTGAAGCAACAACTTGCATTTAGAGGGAGAGAAGCGCATCCCAAACATTCTGGCATTGTTGCTCAGTGCTACCAAAAGACTCTGCATTTTATCAGCGTCTTCACCAAATAGGACTATGTCGTCTGCGTATTCTAAGTCGATAAGTGGACCTCCTGGAAGGAGATCAATACCCGAGAATTCAGTCGACGAGAATGTTATTTCCATCAGTAGGTCTATGACGAAGTTAAACAAAAATGGAGAAAGTGGACAGCCTTGACGGACACCACTTGAGGTTGCAAAAGTAGATGACAGTTCGCCATAAGCCCTGACTCGACTAGTAGTGTTCGAGTAAAGAGCCTTCACAAGATTTATGTACTTCTGAGGTACGCCTTTCAATGACAGACACTGCCACAGAGTCTCGCGGTCTACCGAGTCAAATGCTGCTTTTAAGTCAAGAAAGACCACGATTGTCGGACGCCGATAGGTATGCCTGTGTTCTAGAACCTGACGAATGGTGAATATGTGGTCGATGCAGCCACGACCAGGTCTAAAGCCAGCTTGGTTCTCTCGAGTTTGTAGTTCACGAGTCTTAGTTAGGCGTTTGATAATTATCGAGGCTAGTATTTTAGATACTATGTTTGTTAAACTAATCCCTCTGTGGTTGTCACAGGATGATTTTGACCCTTTGTTATATATTGGGACGATAAGTGATTGCGACCAGTCAGATGGGATAAAGTCTAATTCCCAGATCTTAGCTCAAATATTAGTCAACTTAATCGCTAAAATTGGACCACCATCCTTAAAGACCTCTGGAGCCAATCCATCTGGACCAGCTGCCCTTCCTCGTTTCAGATTAACTATAGCCTTTTGAACTTCAGCAAGAGTTGGGGGACCTACTTCAATGTTCCATTCACATTGTCTGGAAATGGAGGGTAGTTGTAGAGTCGCTGAAGGCCAGTTGAACTGTTCCCTAAAGTGTTCCGCCCATCGTTCTAGACGCCTGGACTTGGAGCAGATGAGTGTATCGTCTTTTTCCGATATAATCTCACTTACACTTGACTTATTAATTCCAGTTTCTTTTATTAGTCTGTAAAGCTGTCTTGTGTTCCCTATAGTCGCCGCCTTTTCCATCTCTTTTGCTTTCGATGCCCACCACTGCTCACGGTCGTTTCTTGGACTTTTTCTTAACCTAGATCTGATTTGTTTTCGCTCTTCATCATGTTCAGAACCTGATGGGACGAGTTTGCGAGAATCCATCAGTGTGACAGACCTTGAAGAAATCCACTGGTTCCTTGCAACTCTGTGGTTTAAGTCACTAATAGATGTCACTGCTGTTTCCACAGCTGATTCTATGCCCTTCCAAGCAACATCTGGGTCAGCCTCGTCTTCAGAACTACCTAATTGTGACCTCAGTTGTTCCTGGAACCTACTTTTGGTTTTCTCGTTACTCAACTCAGTTCTAACGGGTCTTTTTATTGTGGCTTTTTTGCGTCCAGTGAGGCGCAAGCAGATGCGTGCCCGTATTAGGGCATGGTCGGAGTCCAAGCAGGTACTCCAGAATGAGCGACAAGGTATATTATAAGTGAAAATACCCATAATCAGGAATTTTAGTTATGTTTTTGTCCTAGAAATTCTAAGTTATTCAATGTCCTAAATAATTTTTCGTAGAATGTTATCTACATCCATTATATACACTTAAATATACATAAAGGTAAGTCGTTTATATTATTAACAAAGGTCGTTTTCTTGTTACTAATGCGTTATTGATTAGTAACTAATTTCACGTGTTCCATCATCTAGAATTTGTTAAGTTTTACTGATAACACTTGTAGACTAGCTACCATGTTGACTAGGTGTCCCCTCTATCTTCATCACTGAATGATTAAGGTTCGGACAGCTAGAAGAGCGTTAGTTTCATTAATATTGCAGATTTCCTTTGTTGATGTGAGCTAACCTGTAAGAAGCCCAGCTCTAATGTCTCCTATATTGGATACATGATGAAATAAGTAATGTAGTGATAACAGTAGAAAACAGCAACGCAAATTGCATTTCTAAATACACAAAATACAACCTATCTGAGATCAATTGACTTGTTTTACTCAGGTCTAAAAATTTTTAGATAGGTTTCGTTTGGGACATGTGGCTTAGCTAGTTTGACAACATGGAATCCAGTTGATTTAAATCATAGGTCTATTCTTGATCAGTATTTTCGAAAACTTGTAAATTAAATAATCATACATTTTCACCTGTTACAATAATTAATCCTGAAATCACATTTGATCTTCCATTTTACAAATATATATCCTCTAATTTCTGAATGGTAAATGGCCATCAATAAAATTCTTACTAATCTGTACTTTTATAATGCTTAGATACTATATATATGTGGAATAGGTTATACCATTTATGTTGCACAGAGTCTAATTATATAACTCTATACAAATATTTAAACCTAGTTTTCATGATTTTTTAAATTTCATTTGCCAATCACTCAGTTACAAAATGCAGTTTTTAGATTTAGTTTACTTATCCAGAATCCTTAATTTTTCAGAATAAATGAATCATAAATAACAGTGTAATCACGGAAGCATATATTGTCCTGTTTATGACTCGTCAGATGGAAATACTTGTATATCTGTGATGATATTCACGTCTGGACTTGGATATAGTCCAATTTACTTCAAACACCAACGCTTTATCTGCTGAGCCACTGAGTTCATATAGCCAGCAACTTGTTCAACTTCTACGATGTTTATATAATCTTCATTTATATATGTGGAGGTAATGAGGGCAGGATTCAAAATGTGAACTAAGTTTATTCAAGATTTATTCAGGAATATCAACAACCCTATTATTCATACTCCTACTAATAATGATAGAAACATCATCACGGAATCTGTAGCTCTGTAGAGATTGTGCTAGGTGTTTAAAGTCAAACATCATGAATCAAAATCTCGTTATAAACATCAATAATAGTATATAGATATCTCATAAACGTGACTCTTATTTTCAGTCGGCGAAATCAGTATATTTTGATATGACTTTTTAAAATTCTACTGCTATTTTCCATTGTCTTCCACAGTAAACCACTTTCAAGTTTACCGTAACATATATTTTGATAGTGTAATAATCTTTATTAAACAATGATTAATTGGCCGACAATAAGTATTACTAGAAAACTACTTTCATGACACATCATTCGCATCGAGTAGTTTTTTAAAAAACTTAGTAGCTAAGTGGATAACGCGATGGCGTTTGTAGCAAACGGTAATGGGTTTGAGTCTCAGAGTGAACGTCAAATCTGATGCAGTCACATCCAGCTAACGAGTCCCAAATAGGACGAAACCCATGTCCTGGATTCCACTCTTAACCACTTTAGTTTTTTTCAGTTCTATATCTATAACTGTGTCAACTGTCACTTTCATTTATGATAGCTTATTCACTAAGAGTATCAAATACACACTTCAATATTTTCCTATATACTTTTTTAATATGTTGATATTTTGATTGATTTATAACAGTTTTTCTGGTTGTCCTCTTGCAAGTCGAAATCGAAGCAGACAATCAAAGCGGCCATTATCACCGCAAAGTAAGTCAATATTTTCCTTATGTAGACAGTTTTACTATTTTAATATTGAAATTTTGAAATTTAAAGATCAAAACATGATTTTTATACGAAGTAAACGAGGAATTGATACATCAGTGAAATAATTATCGATCAACAGTCTTTAATTTGAACTACGTTTCACGGAAGTAGATAATATCAATACATGGGACAGAATTATTGTCCTAATCAACAGTGAAATTCTTTTCACATTAGAATAAAGTTAGTGTTTAAGGATCCAAGTTATATAATACTGGTTTCCTCGTGAAATTACAGACTTTATTCGCTTTACCGAATCTGAACTGTGTAGATAAAAGTGTTTTTAATACAACAGAATGTTTATTTCAATGTTACTTTAGATACTAAATCCAAAAGTTGTTTAGATTAGTGCATGTAACCTTGAAATGTGGGAAATTCTAAGAAAACAGTAATGGTTTGTAATTGATCAGGCAGATTAGAAAACATCAGTACGTCCACTTCTAAAATAAATCAAAAACACTAACCAGTCAGACGTGTTAAAGGAGGTTTTTGGTTTTATATACAAACAGTAAAACAGTTAGTAAACCCATGAAAACGTAGTCTCCATTCGCAACGATCAACAAAAGTATCCAATTTTCAATAGGTCTCTTCGCGTTATAATTATTTAATGGGATAATTTGATAACTAGTATCTTCAGACAGTATTTACAAGATTAAATAAAACCACAAATCTTTTCTTATCTGAGAAAAATATTGTCGGTATAACACTGATTTACAGTTTATTGTAAAAGATCTGAAGGCAAGGATCGACAAAGAAAGGGCAGCATCTCTAAAATTTAAAAAACATGAAATTCAAAACAACTGTCAACCAACATCTAATTCACAACCATCAATATGAACGTCGAAACAGTTCTACTGTATGGAGTTGGAACTTCAAGAACTAATGCAACGATCATCATCATCATCATCATCAAAATAGTACAAGTACTTACAAACTATTGTTCACGCAAGATATTCAGTGTCCGTTGGATGGATACAATCAACAACAGCTTGCTGCGGACGGGAACAAATCAGCTTTCAGATGAAGAGGAAATTACGAAAAGACGATGGAATTGGATAGGACATACATTACAGAAATCACCAATCTGTATCACAAGCCAAGCGTTAACTTGGAATCCTTAAGGAAAGGAAAGCAAGGAAAAGAGGAAAACCAAAGAACACACTGAAACGGGAATCGGAGGCAGACATCAAACGAATGAATAGAAATTTTGAACAACTGGAAAGAATTGCATAGGACAGATTTCGATATTGAATGCTGGTGAGTGGCCTATTCTTCTTCACGAGAGATAACAGGTGTAATTACTTAAGTAAGTAAGTAAGTAAGTAAGTAAGTAAGTAAGTAAGTAAGTAAGTAAGTAAGTAAGTAAGTAAGTAAGTAAGTGAGTAAGTAAGTAAGTAAGTAAGTAAGTAAGTAAGTAAGTAAGTAAGTGAGTAAGTAAGTAAGTAAGTAAGTAAGTAAGTAAGTAAGTAAGTAAGTAAGTAAGTAAGTGAGTAAGTAAGTAAGTGAGTAAGTAAGTAAGTAAGTAAGTAAGTAAGTAAGTAAGTAAGTAAGTAAGTGAGTAAGTAAGTGAGTAAGTAAGTAAGTAAGTAAGTAAGTAAGTAAGTAAGTAAGTAAGTAAGTAAGTAAGTAAGTAAGTAAGTGAGTAAGTAAGTAAGTAAGTAAGTAAGTAAGTAAGTAAGTAAGTAAGTAAGTGAGTGAGTGAGTGAGTGAGTGAGTGAGTGAGTGAGTGAGTGAGTGAGTGAGTGCGTAGGTAAGTAAGTAAGTAAGTAAGTAAAGGTTCTTATTTAAAATACTAGGCATGAATTCATAATCTCTAATTGTTAGATGTACTTTGTTTTCAAGAGTGAATATTTCGATTTTATCTAAAAAAAATCATTTCACAGCATTTCAGTGTTATTTTATCTTTTTATTATTTATTTGTTATGATAAAGAAATTGAAACGCGTCATAAATCAAATCATGAAAGTAGTAATACAACATTTACTAAAAAATTTTGCCAATCAAATAGTTTAAATAGTAAATTAAATCCATGTCATTCATCACATTCAACATTATCCACATCATCATTACCATTAACTGGTTTCATGAAACAATCACAACAATTTCAAGGAATACCTTCAACAGATTTATTTGCAAACATTCCTCTTGAAAATATGAATCATATTGAATCAACAAATTCAAATCATTTAATTCATGAATTCTCTGATTCGTTTTCTAAATCAATTTATAACTTATTACCTAATCTTATAAATACACCACAGTTTTCAAATTTATTAAATTGTTCAACTACAATGACTAATAATGACAGTAATATGGTTAATTTATATCATAATTCACAAACTCTTTATCCCATGTTTAATTCATCTTCATTCATTAATAATAATAATGATAATAATAATGATTCAAATGTGAAAGATTCCTTATCATTATCAAATATTTTAGAAAAATCCACTTCATATAATTTAAATTTACCACAATATGATATATTTCAACATTCATTCATATATCATAATCCATACAAGGGTAAACATTTAATACCAACAAAATTAATGGATACTAATCATAATATTATTGATAATAATGTAACATCTGAGAAATCAACTATATTATCACAAATTAATTATGGATTAGAAAATGTTTTAATTAATGATCATCATTTCTTGATAAATCAATATTCACCAACATCATCATCATCGTCAACAACAACATCATCACTACCAACAACAACAACATCTTTATCATCATCATCATCATCATCATCATCAATGTATCATTCATATACTGATTTAAACAAAAATTATTCAACATCTAATTCTATATGTATTGAAAATAAATTAGAATATCCGATAGATTTATCTGTACATTCAAAGAACCAATTAGAAAATAATGATAAAATGTAATTATTACGTAGTATATTTTGATTATTATTATTATTATCTGCTCATTAATGACTGACTTCAAGGGGCATTTCCTGGAGTTCTAGTGAGAAGCCATGACCAATGGAGTTCAACCAGATCTGTTGTGAGGTAGTAACTCACTAATGATAATGGTGGACGGTGGTGTAATTTCGTGGATTGGTTGAAGATAGACATTAACGCCGTTGAATGCTGGCTAGCTCAGTGATTAAGAGGTTAACTGTTCATGATCAAGACCAATAGGTCATGAGTTCGGATCCATTTGGCGAGAACATGGATGCGCATTGTTGAGGAGTCCCACACTAGGAACAAACGGCCGTCTAGTGCTCCAACGTTTTCCATGGTGATTTAGCTTTTATTAACTCACGAATTCAACTATAAAAGTATATTAAATAGTTTGATAAGTGCTATCTTAGGATTAAATAAATTATATCAAACTGTTATATAATCACAAAAATATGAAAAAGAAATAATACTTCAGGATCCTAGTATCATTTTGTCTATATTAACAAATCTGGTTGCGAAATTAGCTCTGTTTATTAATTAAATGGAAGGAGTAAATAAAGAAACATTATATGATTTAACATAAATATCATATGAAGTACATACATGATTCAGGACAATCCAGTTTGTTTCTCAATGGTTCTTAAACTAATAATACTTCGACATTTCGACAAAATTATTTCTAAGTAAGCGTCAGTCTAGTTACAAGGTGTTATCTTGTATTTCTAGTCTTTTATTTCAGAAATGAACAGTATAAAGAATCCTCATACGTTTCTATTCAGAACTGTTCGTCATAAAGTAAGGAATTTAATGAGTAGGATACTTTATAATCTGTAAATATTTTGAAAGACAAAATTAATGAAATTGTAACTTCGGATTGTAATTGTTTGTATATGATTTACTTTCTATAACGGCATTTTGCTCAAATTTAGACAGAATCGCATAAGACTACCTTTAAGGTTGCTAATGAGTTTGAAATGAATGCATATAATTGAGCATAATTCCCATGCATACATTTTCCTACTCATATTTTACTTTGGAAGTCCGTCTTACAATCAGTTGATCATGTTTCTTCCAATGTGATCAAGAGAAGTACATGAGACGCAACTGAATTCTCTACTCGTACGCTAATCAATTACATCAATATACACACGAATGCATTTGTACATTTTAGTGGCTTCCTCTTAAGTTTGAATAAGTGGTTAATTAATGTAAATATGTGACTTAAAGCTAAGTAAATAATAGTGTGTAACTGACTGATGTTATATTGAAATGACTCAGTCCTTCTTGATTATACAACTTTCTTCCAAAAATTGTTAACTAAATTGTATTTATTAATTATTTATCCGTTTTTTTCATTCTCATCAATAGTGATAATGTGCCAACGGATAAAATAATTGGTCGATCATTTGAAATTGATAATCTATGCCCGGAATTACATGAATCTAAAAAAGAAGTAAAGAATTTATCTTCAACTATGAAATTAATGAATCCAAACAACAATAATACCATAGCTACTTCTCATCCCCCTACTATTCACAGTTTTACAGATATGCATCATTCAAAAAATTCATCTCTAAACTCCAATAGTTTTCTAGGTGGAGCTTTATCATCAGTCGATGTGCTTTCAAATAAAAAACATATTTATGCAAACAAAAAGCATTCTACTAACATGGGATGTTTAAATCTATTACAAGGAAGGTCAGAATTCGAAGCAGCAAACGTTCTTTTTGCATTCAACTAGGAATTTATGACAGATACACATAAAACCAGAAGATTTTCACTTCCAACAATAATAAAAGGAAGGTAACAGAAATCACAGTACTTTTCACAAACTTACCATATTTCAAATATATACTTTTAGCATTAGATCTATAGGAAATCAGATATAGCGTACATGTATACCGAGTTATTTGGCTTCATGGATATAAAGTATATGTAAAAAGAAGACATTATTGATATTATCACTTAGCTTATTGTTCTGGTTGGTTGATGATGATTAATTTGTAAATTAGAGCGTGTATTCGTTGTGCTAATAATTTTTGCTGCATATTTCATAAATGAAGTTTCATAGCTGTTCTTGTTTCAGATATATGATTTCTGGGAATTAAAGAAGCATTACTTTTGCCATTCATCCCTAGAATTGCTTGAAGGGGCACTAAAAACTAGTAGCCTACAAATGAATATCTCAAATTATCGTAATGTACTTAGGATTTTCTCGTGGCTGTTCGAAATACATTTTAGTAGTGTAAGATCTCTCATTGAAGATGAAATAATCACTAGAATTAGAAGCTAATAAAACTACTGTCTTATTATTCACTGATATACCAATAAGAGACTTACCATTTATCCTTATGAAAAAAAAGACGGTTGTCGGTAATTTCTGAGTAGTTCAAGTATTCTTTGTCTATTTTAATTAAATTTTCAGTATCTGAGTTTTCTTTTTTCTGGAAGTAAAAAGATGTTGAATATTAACGTTCTCAATTTGATGAATGAAACCTAACCTTTACATCCTTCAGACTGGATAATCGAAGATTTGTGTTTTTTACTTTTCAGTCATATATATTCATCCTGCATTTAATGAATACGTGTCGTAATATGGTCCTTCATTACTTCAACCGACAAATCAATTTGAGGCTAATCCTATTCGCTTAACCAAATTATTTCAATCTACAATTTATACTACTAACAATGCTTATCAACAGTAAAGTATTGAAATAGAAATTCAGAAGATACCTATAGTTTCAAATTAACTTGGAATATATGTGTTAGACTAGTTTCGATATCTTTAATCATTGTATTGTACAGAAAATTTACTATTTAACCTATTTACTAAAGTTTTAAAGGTACAAACAGTTTTTATCGTCACTTTCTGTGTTACTTCACTAGTGGAAGCAATAGAATGACAAAAAATATTTTAAATTGGATTGAATAAAAATCAAACAGTCGATTTGATAACGATTACACTTTTGTGAATTTATATTTAACCATATAAATTTCTTCAGTAATTGATGACTTTAATTCGTCACTATTATGCACTTCAATCTCTTGTAGGAGTACGTCAAATTTGCTTTCTGTTTTGAAATACCGATCTATAATTAAAAAAGAAGTTAGCTGAATTTTATAATTCATAAGTTAAGGTTATGAGCTAAAGAAAAAATGAGAACTTCGATCTTCACTTAGTTTCACAATTTAAATCAATAATTGAAGATATGGTTCTTATACCTCACTTTTCAATAGAATAGAGAATACCATCAGATTTCATTACATTTTTTGTACTAAGGTGTTATTCTTGGAAAATTTGAAAATTGTCTGACATCAAATAAGTAATGATATTTATAGATGCTTGAATTCTCAACAGCACTATAAGTCTTGGGTTAACTTAGATCACATATATGTATCCATACTATTTATATGGTTATAATAGCTTATGAAATAATGAGGAAAATGTGAAGTACGAAAAGACACCGTGGGTGATGGATTTTTGATTCTGAATGATTAAATTGATGAGCCTTCACCCTAAATATGCTGTCAGATCCTAATTAAGGAGGATTTTTTAAAACATCTCTGTTGAGTTAGTCAAATTTTGCTTCCAGGTAACCTGGAAGCAAATTAATTATGTTAATTTTAAGTGCTATAAATCATATAACTATATTATAGAATCTGAAAATAAATTAAATACACTTATTGCGCATGAAAAATCATTTTTCTCACATTTTCTTATTGTTGATAAGTATCAGAATAAGGTATTTTCATCAGAATGCAGTGTTAATACAATCCACAAGAATTGGATCTAACATTCAGGACTTAAATGGTTTGGATAGTAAGTGGCTTACAAGCTTATTTCCTCTAATGGCTTATGACATTGTATCGTTTATTATGTGTTACTTTTGTGAATATGTATGACATTTCGTTAGATAAAAAGAAATTATTCTTCTGGCTAATGTATTTGTTCTTGATTTTAAAACGATTGAGCTCTCGCGTCAACAAAGTGGTCTCGTAAACAACCAGTACTCAACTAATTGCATATTATTTACCAATCAGCATCCTATTCATTGCATTCAATAATCCAAAATTCGCTTCATGAAATTGTAAAATCATACTCTATAACAAAATCATTGTTGGGATAGATAGTAGTGTCAGACTTAAATGTTACCTACTACTGCAGTGGACAAGAACTCAGTTGGAAAAAGCCAATTAGTAAAATATGAAAAACGAACATTAAATACATGATTTGCACATCCTCTTTGTGTTTTCCTTTAAATACTTCATTATTCCTCTAATTCTGTCATAATTTTGATTTCAGTCCGATTTCCTTCCTGTTTCCTTTATTTCGATTTTCTGCTGCTAGGCATTCCACTTCTGATTTCTTCTACATACTGCTTATATTTGACAGCATACGTAGCATACACCATACTATATTGTTCATCAAATAAAAAGTTACTGATGGTCTACTGGAAGGTTTTATGGGCAAGCCCGGTCACCTCCTTCAGCATCTGTTTGGTTATGTTCGCTCATTTACAAGTTGGATTCATTTCCAAGTTCAAATATTTAACAGAGACTCATTCAACCACGTCTTTAGAATATCCTATTTATTAGTGACCACAGTAACCATAATTCCTTGCTATCTCCAGATACTTCTGAATCCTATATTAACTTTTGTACTTTATTCTAAACCGGGTATATCTCATAGTCATTACCCTGAAAATTATCATCTATGTAATCCTGGTTGATAAGTTGGTGTCTGGATAAATCTATCTCCAATGAATCCATTTAAGTGAAAAGTACTGTAATTGAGATTTATTTTTACTTCCCACCAACTTCTTTTTAAATACAATTATATCAAACAAAGCTGAAGCTGTTGATCGAAACAAAGCTAAAAATAAATGACATTGTATTACTATTCGAAGTGCCCCATAATCGTTTCTCTGTGTAGTTCATTTACATGATTTATTTCAAGTTCAAATATCAATACATACCTCGATACTATTCAACTATTCTTAATGCTATCGCATGGTGACATAAATATTTGGAAAGTCATCCTCAGAAGGCATGTGCTTCCTTAGTTTCTTTGGTAAGACAAATATACATGAGTCCTGAAATAATCTGATTATCATTTCTAGATATTTTAACAGATTGATAGGCTCCATCACCCATGCAAAGAACAAAATTTGGCCAAGTGATTTAGCTTTTTTTAAACACAACTTGTATAGATAGTCACTGATTTGAGAGCTTCGGCAAGAAAAGGTTTAGATGAATAAGTGTCATTAAAAAAGGCTGAAAGTTTTTTACAACGTTACCACATCAAAGATGTTTTCATATAGATTAGTATCACCGGTATCAAATATTGTATTTACAAAATGAAAGATTGAGATGGAACTTTCAGATTATTATTCTCATTGTTAAGGTCGAGTAACAATCACACATAGATCACGCACGATAGGGGATGGCCAAATTAATAATAACAGCATCAAATTGAAATAGATGAAAAACAGTATTTTTTAACTACAGTTCAAAGAGTCCTTCATATATGAAGATTGGACTGGTCACCACCCAGTGATCAATCAATTGTGATTAGTCTTCTATATACCTTTGGAAATTCGATTGTCATCTATGTAACCAGTGTTAGAAATTTTGGAAATGCATAACTCTGATTTTATTGACCTTTCACACATGCTTATTCATAAATAATTTAGTTACAAACGCTAATCTTTAGATTAAGACACATTAACATCACAACAACACATACGTAGTTACGTAACATTTCAATTGGATTACTTTACTTCTTCGATCATGCAAACAAATCTTACTTCTATATGAGTTTGACAATTAACGATTTTAATTTAAATACTTTAAAATTATAAATCCTGTTGATAAATTCAAGTAGTACAATTATTAGATGAGGTTACTCAGAGCAGCATGGTATGTTAACACTGTGCATGTTGGCTTATTAAGATATTTACGTGAGAAATAAAGGCTAAACTAGGTAATCGAGAACATAAGTAAAACCTAAGATAGTAAGTAAAAATATTTTTAATTCCAACAATTCGATTGTTAAAATTAAATCATTTTTTACCAGAGCAGATTTATTGTAAATACAAACTACTTTTGAATATGTAAGGGTGTTTAGTTTGTCTTACAATGCTCCTACTCGCTCCCTTTCCACTCCTTTGTATATTATTTTATACTACTTATTTACATTCAGTAAGCAGTTGTATTCCCAACAATGTTTACAATTACGTTGTAGCGCAAGTTGTCGTGTAATATTCTGAAATGTTCACATGTACTTATAACGTTTATTGTACTTATCATTGTATTTATCATTATAATCACTGTACCTTGATCGCTGTAGCGGTTATCCACAGTTTTGTGCATTTGTTTAAACGCAACAGTTTCCATATTGTTTTGCTCTTGGTTCGGGTTTCGATTGTTCATAAACTGTTATCAAATTTAGACACACCTACTAGCTGTCCTTTGTACTATCGTATGTTGTAGTTATTGTTTATGTTGCTGTTACAGGAAGCCTTTTCATTTTCATACTTGAAGGACGCGTTTTAATGTCCCAGACACCTCACAAGTTGAGGTTTGTAACAAAATTTTGTGTATTAATCAATAAAGAACCGCTATTGTAGACAAATCGTTGTTTTGCAAACTTCGGTTTTGCGCGTATCTCAGTCGGGTGACTTGGACGCTTCGATAGATCTAACAGAGGGTAAATTTAATTTTAATAGTGGTTAGTGCATGTGCGGATCTAACTGTTCACATTAGACCAATTTTACAAAGCACCACATACTATTAATTTCAATCGTTACAACAATTATTGTGTTAGGGCCGAAATTCACTAGACAGCTGATGAATTGTGATTTCAAACAGAATCTAGACAAATTAATGGACAATAAAACTTCTGTACAAATGTCTATTTTCCTCTCAGCTGAATGGTATGATGATGTTAACATATTTATCTGTGTGAAATTCATAGTATACCTCAAAACACTAAAGTATTTTCACCTTTTTTCTCGCTTTCAGTCAGCAGCAAATATATATCAACATTTTATTTAGTAGTTATGCTTTACGTAGTCACTGTATTATTCCACTTTGGATAAGTTAAGAATTTGAAATCTTATTTTATACTTCAGTGGTGCCGAATGATCTCACACTAATTTGATCGTATGATGATTGCGATCGAAACATACATATCGCCAACCCTAGTTTATAATCATAGACTTAAATCGCGTTAGTGAACAAAAGAATTAAATAAGCCAAATACGAGAATGAATTTCGAATAGGTATATTTCATACAATCATTGATCTGGGCAGAGATTCAGAATAAGAAGTGGCAAAGCAAAAAGGAAAAGGCGAAGCGAAATGAAATGATGTTCAGTGGAGAAGGCATGTGAGGTAACTCCATTTGATAAAGCGTTACTCAATATTTATATTCAGACGAAAATGAATTACAGAGACGTTATAAACACTTAACACACAAACAATCATATAACAACAGTCAAAGTTAATAAGAGAATAAGTGAAAAGGTCACAATGTGGCTTGAGAAGAATAAATAAATTGGTTTGTCCAGAAGCTAGAACAGCCTATGTTGACTTGACATAGCACCAAAAACTACAGTACAATTTATTCAACTCTTTTATTCAGTACATTTATCAGTGGACACTTAACTGAACATTATTAAGTAAAAGTTCTTGTACACCCATAGAAAATTGAATTAATACTTTCGTTTATGATTTTTGATAACGAATAGAACAATCAGCCCTATGGAATATTTTTATGTATAATGTTTGACTACTTATAAGTAAGTAAATAAATCATTCAAAATATTACCGCGTTGTTAATATCTGGATTCTACAATGTTGCCACAATTTGTTTCCCTATAATAACTATGATGCTTCGAGATATATTGTATTGTGAAAGAATATTTCTAACAGCTTACCGAACCTGTATTGATACAAAATATATGTATGCGAAATC